TATATATATATATATATATACACACTTATCCGTGACTCCACGTAAAAGCTAATTGAGAAAATGGAGAAAATTAAAATACAGAGAGGGGGGAAAATAGAAAAAGCTAAGTATTAAAAAAGAATGTGGAGGAGAATATAAGAATCATAATTAGTAACCCACCATTTTGTCTCGGGGAATGGTAAAGAAAAGACTGACGAATGTAAAAGAAAAGAGAATTTATTCGATTCTCTTTGGGAAATGCTTCCATGCACCCTTCTCCATATACGCATATACATATATATTCATCATTTTCACTCGTGTCATATATATATATATATATGTGTGTGTGTGGTATGTATATGTCGAAAACACACGCATCTCGTAAAATTTCAAACTTATGGTTAGCACAATTTTCTGCGTCCATAATAATAATAATAATAATAATAATAATGTTATTGTTGTAAATAGTTATCTTTTTAATTTAGATTATTGCATGTACATTTCAAATAGGAATAATACTATAATACATCAATTATTTAAAACTTTTACAATTTTAAAATTCCATATTTCAATCTAAATAATAATAATAATAAATATTTTTAATTTTGAAAAATTAAAATTTTTTATATATATTTTTTGGATGGTTTCATAGATAAAAAAATATAATTTTAGGTATATAAAATTATTTTTTAGTATTTTAAAATTAGGAAAAAAAACTTTTTAAATCCTAAAAAAATAGAATAATAATCTAATTGAATATTTTTTGTATTCTTGTTAGAAAGGATTTAAATTATTAAAGTGATTAAATGAGTAGAAATGAGTTTTATAGATTTTATGGACCCAAATCAATAATTTATTAAACCCAGATGGGTTATGTCTAAATGGGTTGGATAACCAATATGACATTACTAATCAAAACCTTAGTTTTCTGCTGAAATATTCTAATTTTGAAGATTTACCGAAATAAGTAATATTTGTTTTTTTTTTTGGGTCTCATGCCTTGTTTTGTTGGACGAAGAAAACAAGAGGGAATATGCATTTAATTGGGCTTTAGCCCATTGTTATTCATTACGGGCTCAATATGAAACGGCCCATATAAGATTCAGCAGAGGCGCAATGTTTTCCAAACGCCCGCCTTTTTCTACGGCTCCCAAAACCCTCGCAGAGGCCGTAATGTTGACCACTGGAGAGTGGAGACGTGAAAAAAATAACCCAAAACAAAGAAGGAACAAATCGAAATCCCGTGTTTTGCTCAGTATCGGTTTTCTGTTCGGGGAAAAGTGGAAGAAATCGGCGAGAAGGAGAATTAAGAGGGAATCCAAGGAGAGGCCGACCGTGATTTCTGAAATTTCGGTTATCAGGGTTTTTCTCCATGGATTCTCCTGAATCTTCCACCGCCAAGGTCAATCCTGACGTCAACACTGATGCGGCAGTCAACGTTTCTCGGTCGTTGAACTCGCCTTCAGTGCAAGTGGGTGCCTCTCTTCTTCAATCGTCGTGGAATTTGGTTTGGGTTTATAATTTGTGATGGGGTCGATGCTTTCGGTGTGAGAAATGGGTGGTTGTGGACTATGTTTTTGGGCGTTTATGGTTTTCTATTTGTTGATTTTCTGTTGGCTTGGTTAAAATCTGAGTCCCGTATTGGTTGTTTGATTTCACGGGTTCCATTAATCATCAAGAAAGAAAAATCTGGCGGGGTTGTATGAACAGATCGCGTCATTGGTTTTGTGGTTCTGGGTTACTGAGAGATCCTATATTTTCTTTGAAAATGGCTTCGATTCTACTTTCCTGCGTGAGAATGAAGTAAATGTTCTGAAATCGTGGTGATAAAATGAATGCTATCGTTTCACAGCTTATTCAATTGATCACAATGAAGGAAATTCATTTTTCTTATGGGGTTTTATTTGGAAGAGCTTCTTTACTTGCGTTGTGAGATGTAACTGGAACAATTCGATATGACAAAGATTGAACTCTTGATGTCTAATGGTTTCTATGTTTTTTTTTAATTGCTATCAGGAATCTCCGTTCTCTCATTTCGTTAGCACCTTCTCTCCTCTGACTCTTGGCGATTCTTCTCGTTCATCCCATGTCTTCTTGGGACTGAATTCCCCGCCGGCTATATTCACAACGCCCCGTGCGAACCCAGTTCACGAATCTGGTCTTGTGATAAGGTTTGGACCGTTCCATATTTTCAAAATGTTTTGCTTTGTACACAAACTCGATTGTCTCTTCAGAATCAGTTTATAACATTAATGTTGTTTTCAGTGATGGTAACACTCAGGCATCTAACGAAGAGGAGAAAAAGGAGAAGGGGAACGAAAACCAGGATAAGGAGCCTCGAGACTGTGTTAACTGGGACAAGCCTGCCATTGACTTAGATGCATGCTTGGCAAATGACTCTAGAGCCACTGCTACTGATAACGATGATCAAGTCCAAAGCAGTGGCTCCTCTGAATGCGTTGATAGGTACTTGGCGGATAATGCGGAGGAAAAATCGACATGGCTGGACCATACGGTAGACCAAAAGCTAAAGCATATAAGGCAGGTGCTTGAGATATCACCAAGCAATGCAGATACTGCAACATGCTCCTCCCTAAACGTAATGGCAGATTATGAAAAGGAGATGTTAACCAAAGGTCTGATTGAAGAGGATGCCAAAGGGAAGGGAGTGCTTGGTGGTGGACAAGGAACTGGTCGAGAAGAGGTAACAAATGGTGAAGGGAAATGCAAATATTGCTCAAAAGAGCTTCATGATCAATGCAAATGTTTATATTCTCAGGTAGTTGGACGATTCATTGGATATATGTCTAGATTTAACCTGCTGTTGCTGTCTAGTATGAAAAGTTATCGACCTTACAGCTTGTTTTAATTTGCAGTCTGAAAAGGTTGGATGCGAGGAAGAACGCAAGTTTCCTTCTGAAATTCCATCTGAACACATGCAAACTGTTCAATCACTTGAAGATCCTAATAATAACGTTGAATCGCTCCTGAGCAAACCAAATGACATTGTGGTGCTTGAGTCTGAGGTATTTGCAAATTTTGAAAGGAGCAATTAGTGTTTCGCCTTTTTATAAGCCATTTTTTTCCTTCTATTCATGCTTTCATGCCAATGGTTCCACTCTATTGTAGCATCCCTCAACCATAAGCTAATATTGTAATATCAGAATGGCACTTAGGAAGACATACTGCTTGAAATGAGTAATGGTCGTGCTTTGTCCATGGTATAGACATCAATCTAATCAATTTCATGAATGGAGTCTGCCATGTACAGCTCCATTCACTGAAACTTGTCACACATAGTACCTTCTTGTTAGCTGTTATATTTGTTGAGGTCCAATCCATTTTGAGAAAAGTAGTATGCTGGTATCCGATGTAATGAAATTCTGTCTTGCATTGGGATTTATTATGAAGGGCCGACTTGTCTCAGCAGTAAAACCATTCACCGTGGGGTCTGAGATCGCGGGTTCGAATCCATCTCTCTACATTAAAAATGTAGGGGTAAGGTGGCCTAGTATATTCCCTTCCTTAGCACCTCCACTAGATGGGGATACGAACTGGGTTGGTCCTTTATTGGGATTTATTATCATTTTTTCGAGTTTACTTGTAGGGAAATCAACAACGGGGTATGAGTAGACGTTGCCTTCAGTTTGAAGAAGCTCAACCCAAAGCAAATTCAAATACAAACAGTTCATTGGCCATGACAGCTTTCTTACGACCTGTTAGTGCACCTTCAGAAAGCGATCCCTTTGATTCAAGCACATCTTCCTGTAGCAGACATTTGACTGATACATCTCCAACGGTGACTGATGTCCCTTGCTCTGCTACTAATATAAAGCAAATTGCACCTGCTTCCAAGCCATTAGGGATCGGCGTACATCTAAACAGCATTATCAAGACTGTGCCATTTCACCATGATGGCAATGCAAGTCTGAAGCCATCGGACCGTTCCATGAGTGTACTGGAGATAAGATCAAAGGTCATAGCAGATACTAGTCCACCACAGATCACAAACGATGAATTTCTTCAGGACCCAGAAGATTTTATGTCATTGCAGATAATAGATGACCTTGCTACTCCTGGCGACAAGCGGAAGTTTGTCCCGGAAAATCCTGATCATTTTGAGCAACACAGCCAACTAAGCCCCAAAAAGTAGGGTCTTACGACCATTGATGATTTTTTTTTTAAAAAAATCTGGTCTCTTCATTTCACAGTGAGAATACTGAGGTTTTGCCTGATTGTATAGGAAGAAGCTCTCCAGCAGTCCCGATGATGATGGTAACAAACGTTGTAACTGTAAAAAGACCAAATGCCTGAAGCTGTAAGTGAACTACTGCTTTCTTGAACCGTAATGCCACAATGTGTTTCAATTTGCCTGCCTTTACTCATATTTTAGAGTGTTCTATGTTGTTTTTACAGGTACTGTGACTGTTTTGCTGCTGGCGTATATTGTGATGAATCTTGTGCATGTCAAGGGTGCTTAAACAAACCTGAACATGCAGAGACTGTTCTTCAGACCCGTCAACAAATCGAATCCCGGAATCCGCTTGCATTTGCTCCAAAGATCATACAGAGTGGATCCGACTTTTCCATGAGTAATATGGTATACAAATATTCCGAGAGAATTTTGAACATTTTTGTTTGAAGTTTTAACAGGAAACTGATAATTACAGGAAACCGGAACCCTTACTACACCTGCATCAGCAAGGCACAAAAGAGGATGCAACTGCAAGAAGTCAATGTGTCTAAAGAAGTACTGCGAATGCTATCAGGTTAGGTTACTTCCCTGTTCTTTTTCCTTTTGATAAGATTTTCATGTTCCTTGTTCTCTTCCAATTTTTTTTTCTTCGGTTTCTCTTTCGAGGTATCTTATCTGTTTCGTTTCTTTGAAGACAGGGTGGTGTTGGCTGCTCCAGCGGATGTAGATGTGAGAATTGCAAAAATATCTATGGGAAGAAGGATGGTAAAGACTATTACTGTTTAGCTCCCATGACCAATTACGAGCATCTTTATGTTCATGGAGAAGAGTAGTTGGTGGTTACAGGCTAGGATCGATTCGCAAGTGATCCACATATTTTCAAACCTTGGTTCTTACTTGTCTTAGACTAAATTGCAGAATAAGCTGCTCATAAGATAATAATATTCCCCTTAAGTGATTCAATTAATTCGTTTCCAGCATTTTGGTGGAAGCTGTTTGCTAGTGATACTACTTCAGTTCTAACTTTTCTCAAACTGTATTGCCATAGAGTTTTTGAGCAGCAGAGAGATAACCGAAAGACCTGAACCAGATAGAAGAATGGACTTGGCGGTCGCCAGGAAAAGTTCATTGCAGGCTGAAACATATCATATGCACAAACTGACCCCGGTCACTCCATCACTCCAGCATTCTGAGTATGATGTCCTTTCTGTATTAACATATGTGGGTCTTCCTCCAAAAGGTCATTCCGATGCTAATGAGTGTTTCGTTTTCTCTGTGTTCAGCCGTGGTAAAGTTGCTCCAAAATCCCAGATTATTATCCGGAGATGCAATCATCCTCCTGATTCTGATCCGAGATCACTTAGACATTCAGATGGAACCGATCCTAATCCTGAAGCCAGTGTTGAAGCTACAGAAACGAGTTCTTATAATCACAAGACCAGCCAAAACAGTCCTGAAATGGCAGGATTCGGTCCAGTGACAACAAATCCTCTGCCGACACCCACAGGATGTTCTTCAACTTCACTGTGCACTTCTCCGACATTTGGTTCAGGCAGTGGAGTCTTTAACGTTCGAGAAGATGGATACACACATGAGATCTTGACAGATGCTTCAATGGCGATCAAGCCAGTGAAAGTGTGCTCGCCTAGCAGAAAACGGGTCTCCCCTCCTCGAAGTTGTCTGAGCCAGGCAGGATCGAGCTCTTCAGTGCCACTGAGAAGTGGGCGCAAGTTTATACTCAAAGCCCTGCCTCCTTTTCCGCCTCTCACGCCCTGTGTTGAGAACAAAAGCATTACACCAGAGGACAATCCTCAGCCTGAATGAAGGGATGGTAGATCCTTGATGTTAGCTCTTGCAAGGTGACACTATTTCCTTAGCTTCTCTTACTCTTGTCGTCATCACGGTCCATTATATGCAGGAATGAGCTTAATGGTGGATAAACTTTGGTTTAATCTTATAATGGGAATGGGATCCTAATCATGCAGACGATGAGTATCCTCTTGTCTTGGAAAAAGAAATCACGACATATGAGGCGGTATCTGTGTTCGCGATTGCCTTGTGGGCCACGCTACCCTTTGGGCTTTGCCCTAAAAAACCCGACCAAATAAATATCAAACGCTTTGGACCTATATTACATTCTTTTGAACTGTTTGTACTTACTACATTCTTTTTCTATTATTATTATTATTATTATTATTATTATATTATACGGATAGTTTTTTGGTGAAAATTATACGGATAGTTATATTCCGTGGACCAGATGTTGTGAGTATATTTATAGGCTGATATATGTATATATTCTTGGCTAAGATACACAATTTATTATCTAAAATATTAGACCGAGGAGGATCAATTGTTGTTATCAGTGAAAAAAAACAAGGAAAATAAAAGAAACATAAAAAAAAGTCAACAAACCCTTATTTATTTACCCAAAACAAAAAAAACAAACCCTTATTAATATAGAGGTGAATATGATTATTTTTTTTTAACTAAGTTGCATATTTTCTTACTGAAGCCCAAAACTAAAAACCAAAAGGAAAAAAAAAAGCCATGGCGGAGAGCTTGAAGAGAGATGGCGAGATTCCATGGCGAGTGCTCGAGTTCTACAGCGGCATCGGTGGAATGGTATCGCTCTCATTGTCTCTGTATTCATTTCGTTCTCAGTTTTTTTTTCTTTCTATTCGGTGGATTTGTGGAGTGTTTATCAACCCTAATTCGTGATTTTCTTCTCTCGTAGAGGTATTCGTTAACGGCTGCCGGCGTCGCTGCCGATGTCATAGACGCGTTTGACATCAACGATGTCGCTAATGATGTTTATCAGCACAATTTCGCCCATCGTCCATATCAGGTTTCTTTTACTCCGGCTTTTTTTTTTTTATTAGACCGATGTTGGGCTTTCTTCTTTATCTCTGAGTTTCAATCCTCACGTAGAGAAGGATATAGAGAGAAACGGTGTTCTAGGATTTTGATCGCCTTCGCCTGGTAATATGTGAATTGGGAGGTCCCATTTTATCATTTGCTCTTCTGTGGCTTACTGGGCTCATTGCTAGTATTGCTAGTCGTATTTCTACCTGATTTCATCTTAAATGGTTATTGATGGTTTCTTAATGATTAATCAACCAAAATATTGCTATGTGTTTGTTCTCTGTCACTGATGATTTTGCCAGAGGTCTTGTGAGTCAAGCTCTGGCTATTGAGTTTTCTGAGAAAGGAGGTTGCTATTCTGAAATCTGGTTACTGTGTTTTACTTTTCAGTTTTTGGGCACTACCCCTAGTTGCCAATTACCGAATTATCTGTGTTGTTGTACTATGTTCTTATTTTGGGTACCTTTATGTTCTATGTTCTTGTCTCTATTTGTTGCAGGGAAACATTCAGAGCCTCACTGCTGCTGATCTTGATCGGTACAAGGCAGATGCATGGCTTCTTTCTCCTCCTTGCCAGCCTTATACTCGACAAGGTAAATTGCTATTTCTTGGTACTCCATCCTGTTCCGTATTATTTTTCACTTGATGCTTATGTGAATAAGGAAATTTGATTAGGCCTCCAGAAACACTCTGGTGATGCTCGAGCATTCTCGTTTATCAAGATTCTTGAGCTTATACAACATTCGTCCAGACCTCCCCTTATGTTGTTTGTTGAGAATGTCGTTGGATTTGAGGTATGTCTTTATCTCCATGTCTGAAGCTGGAGCTGTGCTCAGAATCGCAAATAAATCGTTTATGCTTGTGTTGATATTTTTTTTAAAGTCTGTATCTCTATGTTTACTGGTGGAGGTGTTTGTGGGTGCAGACTTCAGATACTCATATGGAAATGGTTGAGACATTAACTAAATCAGGTTACGCCCTACAGGAGTTTATTTTGAGCCCGTTGCAGTTCTGTGTGCCGTATTCAAGGCCACGTTATTTTTGTTTGGTACTTTCTGCTTACCTCTCTACATTCAATTATTTCGAACATGCGTAGCTCTTTACCCGTCGATGCATCTCAGTGTTTTGTTTTTCATGCATCCGTCTACCCAGCTAAATGCATTGCTGCTTCCATTCAATCTACAACGTTTTTTGATTTAGTAGATTGTTGTAGTAATTTGGAAAAAATAAAAATTCTAATGAACTATGATGCAATAAAGGGTCGGCTTGGCTCAGCGGTGAGCTCACTTGCCGTGGGGTCTGAGGTCGCGGGTATGAATCTATCCTCTCCACATAAAAAGTAGGGGTAAGGTTGCTTAGTAAATTTCCCTTCCCCAACACCTCCACTAGGTGGGGAATCGAACTAGGTTGGTCCTTTTTTCTATGATGCAATAACCTACTTCCTATGGTCCTTACATGACTAATTGCACTATGGAACTGGATCTTTGGTTTCCTAATGCTCAGAAATTATTTAGATGTATGGACTCACTACTGTATTGTTGACATAAGCAGGAGGTTTTTCTTTGTCTCTTCTTCGCCATTGTGCTTTTCGATTTTATTATTCTACTTTTCCGATTTCACTTTAAATTTCAGGAAATTTGCTAATATGTAATTTGTCCTTTACTCTGCAGGCCAAAAGAAAGCCTTTGTCGTTTCGGTGTGAACTGTATAATAGCCAGCTACTCTGGTCCCCAGGCCCCTTACTTGGGCATGATGATGAGGCGGTGGTCAATGAACAGAGTCAATCAGAAGAGGGATGGGAAAAGTTACTTCAGTATTGCGAGCCCATAGAGAATTTTCTTGAATTCAAGAGCTCTGCAGTGCAAGGAGACATGGAACCAAGTTCTCCAAATACTTCTAACGATTTCCCCAAGGATTATAATAGAGAAGAAAATGAAGCTGTCCCAGATTTTGTTCAACAGTATCTTGTACCATTAAGTTTGGTAGAGAGGTGGGGAAGCGCAATGGGTATCCTTTTCTGGTCTTTCTTATCATCGATTCCGTTATTCTCTGGAATCTCATTTTTTATCTAAACGATTCCTAAGCTGTCATTAGACATTGTCTACCCTGATTCAAAGAGATGCTGTTGTTTCACAAAGAGTTATTATCGGTATGTGAAAGGCACTGGGTCACTCTTGGCAACGGTTCAGGTACATTCTCTCATGAAAATGCACTGCCATTTTCTTGTGATGCTCTTTTTGCAATTCATAAGATTATTGCTTGTTGTGACCCTTCAGCCAAAGATAAAGGGGAAAACATCGATGAAGGAGCAACGTCTTAGATACTTCACCCCTAGAGAGGTAAGGCATTGTCCTCTATCTTAATGTCAATGACACCGTAAAAACCGGGTTTGGTTTTGTTGTGTGAAAGAAAAGTTGCCTTCTGTTTGATTAGGTAGCTAACCTTCACTCCTTCCCAGAGGATTTCGAGTTCCCGAAGCAAATAAGCCTTCGACAAAGGTAAGCTCCTAATATTCTGATACAGTGAGTGAACACCCATTAAACCAAGCATCGTGTTAATTTTTTGGAATATGCAAATTGAAGAGCAATATTAGTGATAAACGTTTGATTTCAAGCAAACAAATGTTGATTTGTCGTGTGCAGATATGCTTTGCTTGGGAACAGTTTAAGCGTAGCTGTCGTGGCTCCTTTGCTCCGGTATCTATTCAGCTCTCCATCTTGAACTCGGAGGAGCTGGCATCATGTAACCTTAGTACTCTCTTCTTTCTGTAGCTTTGTCGGGGAAAATAGAAAAGAACTGACAACACACTAGGAGTGATAGACAAAAATCTGTATCTGTTGTGTAATTTTAGGGCAGTCAAATATGAAGGATGAGACTGTTTATTGCAGGGGGAATGGCATAGGTTAGAACCTTTGCTGAATCCAGGTTAGGATGGACACAGATTAGGTATCCGAAATATTTAGAGCATTCGGATCCGAACCCGAGCACTTTCAATACACAAACTTATATCCAAGAGTCTCGGGTATCCATGGGTCTCCAACCTATTAAACTAAACACCCAATCCCATACCCCGAACCCGCTAATCCAACCGGTTTAAATTGAGAACCTAATTTTCGGGGCAGGTCAGATATTCTTGCCCCCTAAAGTACAGATTGTGGTTGGAAAACCGACTCATGGAACAGAATGATGAAGCTTTGCTCGCTTACCCTCTCTCAGGTTTTTGGGAAAATAGAGCTTTGGGCATTAACCCTAACAGCTAACGACACAGAAGATTATACGTCAAAAGAGAGCGACAGAGGGAAAAAGTTACCGAAACAGTAATTCGGATTCTAGGGAAATCAGATCAATCAAATGGGTCGGGTTAAATGATATGATCCAATCACAATAATATATGGATCAGTTTGTTAGGTTATTTTTATCAGATGGATTAAAAGAGTTTAGTGGTTTAACCCATCACATCCATATATATATATATATGCGCACATACAGGCATACATATCTACTTATATACGCACATGCATAAATATGTACATACATACATCTATATATAAATTGGTCGATTGATGTAAATAGATTTAATTAGATTTTATGGGTTCGTCCAATCTATTTTTTTTTATCGGATAGGTTAACGTAACTCATTAACACACACAACCAAATGACTTTGGGTTGAAATGGATTATGCTTGTCAAAATGAGTAGCCCGACCCATCTCAATATCAATATATCATGAGGAAGGAATCCAAAATGCGAAATTAGGGATTCTCTGTTATTGGAATAGAGCCCACTAAATATGCATCAATGAGCCCAATTTTAAAGCCCATTAGTATTTTGGGCTCAAGTGGAAATTCAATTCATTGACACGTGTGGCCACGTCGACGTCTTGCTGAAAATTAACCTCACCACCACTCTCTTAAAATTTTTTATATTCAGAAAACAATCTTTATCCAGATTCATTCTTTCTAGGGTTTTCTTTTGTCAGCCGACCGCTGAATCTTTGCATCTACCAGCCGTGGTTGATTTTCTCGGTTGAGTTGCGTTTTTCATCGACCTTTGAATCAGGTAATCTCCACGCTCATCATCTGTAATCGCTGCGATATCGGAGGGTTCGATTCGATCGGTTTTTGTTGGGTTGGTGTTTCTAATTCGATGTTTTTGTAGCTTTATCCAGTTGATTTCGTTGGGTTTTTCGTCCGAACTGTTCTGCGCGTGTTTGTTGATTCGTGTTTTTGCGATATGTGTGTTGATTTGTCGTAGGTACTGGTATTAGACGTGGTTTTCAGTCCTTTTTGCGATTTGATTTCTTTTTCCTTGGGATGTGCGTGTTATGTAATTATGGTGTGTGATTGAGACAGTTGAATCTGCCGTGACGATTGGGATGAGTTATTTAAGTTAACGAATTAGTATTCAGGGGCGTCGATTCCTGCAACTGAAACACATGGGAAGAATTGAACAACGGGTTCAAATTGAGAAAGAAAAACGCAATAAAACCTACCAAAAAGAATGCAAATATGATGATTGATGTATTCTATTGTGCCTTTTTATGTAAATCACTTGTGTTCTGTTTGTTTTTCGTTTGAACTTCTTAGCACCCGGATAGCGTTACATTTCTTGCATTCTCTCTGACTTTTTATTATCCTTTCTTTGTTTTCACCGCAGTTGTTGAAGTGAATGTCATATGCAGCTGGTGTATCATGTCGGGTGATATGGTGTCGGAGCAAATCTCTATGCCAAGTAGTCAAGGTCATGTAGAAGATTTACCTGAGAATCAGGATATGTCTGAAATGACAAATGTGATTGAAACGGTGACAAACGATCTTCCCATGCAACAAATGCCAGTTTCAAACATGCAGTCAGGGCTGATGGACTCTGCAAGCAGCAGGGTTATGCTGCAGCATGTAGACACATCGAATGCCTTTATCGGGGTATCTGACCCTATGTCATATAGTTTTGCGCCACAGACCTTTTCTTGCCAACCTTCTAGTCTGATGGATTCTCAGTGTTCTACACCGCAGTTGCAGACTTCTGTAGCACATCAATATCCTTCAGGAGGATCGATAGCTGCTTTCAATAGCTCAGATTCCGCACAGCTGATGGGAAAGCGTAAATCACCACTGGAGTCTGTTCTTAATGGTTCTGCATCACAGAAATTGGACATGCCTAATAAGCGAGTGGCACAGATGCATCACAGGCCTTGGTTAGAGCAATTTTCTCCATCAAGTAATCGTTCAATGCATTTGCTAACCTCCTCTCTTCCTTTGAAGATGCAACATGTTCCAATGCTGACCAAGAAAGCAGTGCAAATGGAGTCTGTTCCCAGTAAGGCTGCGAAACAAATGATGAACAAGAAACTACCTGTACCATCACAAGCCTTGAAGAAACCACAGAATGAAGGAAACGAGTCAGTGAGGTCTAAAATGAGGGAATCGTTAGCAGCTGCTTTGGCTTTGGTTTTGCAGCAAGATGATTGTATTGAAGGGAAGAAGAGTTCTAAGGCCGGAGAAGCAAGTAATTCTGTGATAACACAAGAAAATTCTCAAAGTGTTGAACATGCTGTAGCTGCTAGTATTGGCACACCTGCAGTTGAAGGAAGTGCATCCACATTGTCCAATGGCGACGAAATTTCAGGGCAGAAGGACGTCGATGGAAAAGTTTTGTTGCATGAGCAATGCAGTGACACCCAGATGAAAGATGCTAATCAATCTGAACAAAGATCTCAATTCGATGAGGTTTTCCCTCGAGATGTTCCTTTTAGTAATAGTATTTTTGCCAACGATGAACTTTTACAGGGTAATGGCCTCTCATGGATTCTGGAACCTGTTTCAGATCTTGGGGAGGCAACGGACAAGGAAACAGATGTGGCACCCAACTCAGGTGATGGAAACAATGAGAGAACAGATGGAGAAAAGTCGTTTCAGGATCCAGAACTCTTGGCAACTAAAATTGAAATGGAACTTTTTAAGCTATTTGGAGGTGTAAACAAGAAGTACAAAGAGAAGGGAAGGTCCCTTTTGTTCAATTTAAAGGATAAGAACAATCCTGATCTAAGAGAAAGAGTTATGTCTGGGGGGATCCCACCGGATCGATTGTGTTCCATGACAGCTGAAGAACTTGCTTCTAAAGAACTTTCTCAGTGGCGACAAGCCAAAGCAGAAGAAATGGCGCAGATGGTGGTCTTGCGAGATACAGACATTGATGTCAGACGTCTGGTGCGGAAAACACATAAAGGTGAGTTCCAGGTAGAATTTGATTCTGTTGACAGTGGCACAGTGGATGTTTCTGCTAGTGTCTCTTCGCGTAGTCGACCTCGGCCGAAAGCCAAGGCAAAGGAATCATCTCATCCTACCAAATCTTCTCTGAAGAAAGATGGATCCAAAGATAATGTCGCCAAAGGGAATAAGGAAACATCTTGCAATATCACTATTCCTCCTAACGATGGGACTGATCCGATGCAAGGTCTCTCCATGGATGATGAGATGAAGGATGTTGGGTTTCTTCCTCCTATCGTATCGCTTGATGAATTCATGGAATCCCTGAACTGTGAACCTCCATTTGAAAGTCCACAGAAAGATGCTGGAGAGGAAACCCCTGAACATGAGAAGAATGACACAGAACCCAGTGAGAGAGATTCTCCTAAATCCAAACCCGAGATGCCTAGCATAGTTTCTTCTCCTAAATCCAAATCCGAGATGCCTAGCATAGTTTCTTCTCCTAAATCCAAACCCGAGATGTCTGACGTAGTTTCCCCTAAATCCAAACACGAGACGTCTAATAACGTAGTTTCTCCTAAAGCTGATGCTATCGTCTTATCCAATGACGTTGTCACTAAATCCGAAAATAGAGATGTTGTTGCTGCTATGAAGGGAGAAAAGATCTGGGATGGTATACTTCAGCTTAACACCTCTTCGGTAGTCTCAGTCACTGGCATTTTTAAAAGGTAAGTTTCCGTATTTATTTCTGACATGTATGTCCGTGGTTGCTGTTTTAGCCTTCTCATAGTAATTTGCTTTTTTTTTTTTTGATGTTTGCTTTGCTTTATCTTCTCTTTGGGTTGTGAAGTACAAATAAAACCCTTGTAGGAATTGAGTTTGCAATGCCAATGCAAGCTCATTCCCTTGTGAATCCGACAAATCCTTATGTTAGATAGCATGTATAGGCACATGTTATCCATCTCTGACTAGATTTTCGCCTGCAGTGGCGAGAAAACTCAGACGAGCGAGTGGCCTGCGCTGGTGGAGGTTAAGGGTAGGGTGAGGCTGAATGCATTTTCAAAGTTTCTACAAGATCTCCCGAAGTCTCGAAGCCGTGCCCTAATGGTATCCCAAGTTTACTTGCATTATCATCATCATCATTGTAGTGGCATTAGATTAGGGTGTCTTGCTTTGTTGCTTTATATACATGAAACAGATGCAGGAAAAAAAAGTTGGAGCCTTTTTTTTATATCCAGAATCTTCTCTTGGTTCATCTCAAGACTGTTTTTTCTGTGTTTCCCAGTCTTCTTCTCTTCATGCAGACACATTTGCCCATAAGCTTTATAACACCTAGTCACCATTGGTGAGGAAGCCAGAGGATAAAAATCCGAAAGTGTCCACAAGTTTTTTGCATACGCAGCCCAGGAAGTGACTGACGATAAGACCCCGCGTGTTGTGGAGATTCAACAGCGGATTGGAATAATCTTGATCGTCGAATTTTGTATATTTCATGATCATGTGAATATGACATCTGGTGGAAACCGCTCGAAGTTTCCTTTACGTGTTTATGCCCCAATCTCTTCCTTTGTGTACGGCTTAAAAAAATTGTAGGATACAGAAAATCACAAAGAATCTGCCCAGAAAGTGACTAAGACCCCGATTCCAAAGAGAACGCATGGGCCATTAATCTTTTTTAATTTCTCAGACCACAAACACTGAAACACGCCCTCCTCGTGGCACTAATGAATTCGCTTGTACGAAAAGTTTTGGTTTTTCTTTTCTGGGTGTTATTAGTAAGTGATGGTTTAGGGGGAATTTCATTTCTCTGTTCTCTGATTGTCATTTTTTTTTTTTGGGGTTTTGCAGGTGATGTACTTGGTTTGCAAGGATGGTATCTCTGAAAGCCAGCGTGGCAGCCTTTTTTTCAAAGTTTCTACAAGATCTCCCGAAGTCTCGAAGCCGTGCCCTAATGGTATCCCAAGTTTACTTGCATTATCATCATCATCATTGTAGTGGCATTAGATTAGGGTGTCTTGCTTTGTTGCTTTATATACATGAAACAGATGCAGGAAAAAAAAGTTGGAGCCTTTTTTTTATATCCAGAATCTTCTCTTGGTTCATCTCAAGACTGTTTTTTCTGTGTTTCCCAGTCTTCTTCTCTTCATGCAGACACATTTGCCCATAAGCTTTATAACACCTAGTCACCATTGGTGAGGAAGCCAGAGGATAAAAATCCGAAAGTGTCCACAAGTTTTTTGCATACGCAGCCCAGGAAGTGACTGACGATAAGACCCCGCGTGTTGTGGAGATTCAACAGCGGATTGGAATAATCTTGATCGTCGAATTTTGTATATTTCATGATCATGTGAATATGACATCTGGTGGAAACCGCTCGAAGTTTCCTTTACGTGTTTATGCCCCAATCTCTTCCTTTGTGTACGGCTTAAAAAAATTGTAGGATACAGAAAATCACAAAGAATCTGCCCAGAAAGTGACTAAGACCCCGATTCCAAAGAGAACGCATGGGCCATTAATCTTTTTTAATTTCTCAGACCACAAACACTGAAACACGCCCTCCTCGTGGCACTAATGAATTCGCTTGTACGAAAAGTTTTGGTTTTTCTTTTCTGGGTGTTATTAGTAAGTGATGGTTTAGGGGGAATTTCATTTCTCTGTTCTCTGATTGTCATTTTTTTTTTTTGGGGTTTTGCAGGTGATGTACTTGGTTTGCAAGGATGGTATCTCTGAAAGCCAGCGTGGCAGCCTTTATGAGGTAAATTATCAGAATATTCTAAAGTACAACTTTTGTTCAGACGCTCTTTGTTGAGAGCAAAAGGCTCAAAGTCTCCGCCTTTTTTTGTTTGTTTGTTAACTTTGTTTTTAAATTTATGACAGGCTGCTGAATCATACGTTGCTGAGGAGAGAGTGGGTTACGCAGAGCCAGCCTCCGGCGTGGAGGTTTACCTCTGCCCACCACGCGGTGAGATGCTTGATTTGCTTGGCAAGATCATCTCCAAAGACCAGCTCGATGAGGTCAAGCGTTTTGACATCGGGTTGATCGGGATCGTCGTCTGGAGGCGAGCCCTCGCCTCTCCCGGCGCAGCAGCAGGCTCACGCCACAAACCCAGATTCAGAAGGCAACATTCTTCGGGTTCTAGGAGCTCCTCCGTCTTGCAGGAAAACAAGAGCTCAACTGTAAATGTCACAAATAAAACTGCTGTTGTTGGTTTGAATGATGAAAGAAGAGCTGCTGCATCCATGGGGAGGACTCATGGTGATGGCGATGTTGACGGTGACGGTGACGATGATGTGCCACCCGGGTTTGGTCCCGGGGCTGCAAGAGATGACGATGATCTTCCCGAGTTTAATTTCAATTCCTCCCGTGGGACGGTTCCTTCTTCTCAGCCACCACCGCCACAGCAATCTAGGTCTATAAATCAAGTAAGGGAGCTTATACACAAATATGGCAAGTCTGCAGGTGCCGGAAGCAACCGGGGAATCCAGCCGTGGAATAACAATGATGATGATGACGATGATGATGATATACCTGAATGGCAGCCACAGGCCCACAGCCACCCACTTCCACCGCCCGCTTCTCTCCCGCCGGCTCACGGCTATGGAACCAATGGAACGGTAACTACACATACACAGCCACCTCGCCCGCCTCCACGGTCAGGGGACGGATGGTGGGCAAATCAGAACGGGATGGGACAACTGTACGGAGTTCCTCCGGACGGTGCCCGGCCTAGGAACAGAGGAGTTTGAACCAGTCTTAGTGTATTCTTGTTTTTTAGTTTTCCTGTAATTACAGTTGCTTCGGCTCTGCAGGTTATCTGTCTTACGCACCATCTTCCTTTTTTTTTGGGTAGCAAGCAATCATGCAATGTAAAACCTTGAATAATAAAATGTTTTGCGTGAAGCTTTAAAACTAGTTTCTGTTTATTACTACGATTTCTCGTCCCATTTTGTTGCAATTGAATGGTTAATGAGAAGCCATAAAGTGTATTTGCACGCAAAAGTGTGGTTCATTCCTCAGCTGAAAATCTGTATCGATTGTTACAAACACATGAATGATGCTACAATGTGTTACAAAGAACTAGTGAATGACGGTGTTTGGTCGAGAATGAATCGGATCTCAATTTGCAGATTTCTTCACCTTCAACCCCCCAAGACACGTTTAAGCGCAGATTTCTGGTCAGTGGACAACCGTGTCGGGAACTGAACGTCGAATTTGATAATGAGATCGCCTCTGTTTCCTGGTTCTTTCGCTATCGGCATCCCTTCTCCATGAACCACGAGCTCATACCCCGGGCTGATGACTTCTGCCACAGCAACAGGCAGATTCCGCCCGTCAAGGGTGCTGATACTCACTGTTGTTCCTCCAATGGCTTCTGATAGCGTGACTTTGCGGCTTGTGATAAGATCATTCCCGTCTCTCTTGAACACATCGTGCGGTTTCTCATCGATGATGAACACCAAATCAGCCGGAAGCTGATTCAGTTGCTCGTTCCCTTTGTCCGGAAATGTTATCTTCGTCCCCTTCTTCCATCCGGGCTTCACCACTATAGTCAGAATCTCCATCTCATCCATCTGTCTCCTGTAACATCGCCATTCAGAAAACACTGTAAATACGGGAAAACCGAAGAAAAGGGTCTTGACAGAAACCAGCCTAGTAGATTGATTACCCATTAGCACCAACAACAGTTCTTGAGATCTTCATCTTCCTAGTTGATCCAGAGTACAACTCTTCAAGGCTGCAAGGCAATTTGCTCTCCACCGGTGGAGGTTTCTTGGGCATTGGCCCGTCGCTGTAAGTTCTGAAAATGTTTTCGCCACCGAACATTCCGCCGCCATCAGATTGGAACCTCTTGGACCTTCCAGGAGCCGATGATCCGAAACCAAAAGGACTGTTGCCAAAGAACTCAGCAAAGATGTCCTCTGCATTCCTTGGGTTAAACCCACCTGCCCTTCCATTGCCTCCTCCTCCTCCGGTGCTCCCAGGAGGCGGCATATCGCTCAATCCTTCCTCCCCGTATTGGTCGTACACCGATCGCTTCTGAGGATCACTCAGAACCTGAAAATTTCATAAAAAGCTTTCAGATTTTCAAGGCAGAAACTAGTCGGGCATGATTCAGAGATCTGATTCGAATTAAATATGCATTTTGATATAAGTGAAATGTCGTTTCATATTTTTCTTAAATCCCAAGAAACACTTCCCTACGAACTAAAACAACACCCAAATTCCAAGGATCCGAAGAGCATTTTCAAGATTTTTTTTTTTTAACAAAGGAACGAGGGATATGTAATGTGAAGTCAAAATGGGGATGAGAGGGAACGATAGAAAGGGAGAGTGCCTCGTATGCCTCAGAGATCTCCTTGAATTTGGCTTCAGCCTCCTTTTTGTTGGTAGGGTTCTTGTCAGGGTGCCACTTCATGGCCAATCTCCTGTAACATCTCTTCACATCATCCTCCGTCGCGTTCCTGTTCACTTCCAATATGTTGTAATAATCCAACCCCATCTCTTATATATTATATCTACCTCTCTCCCCCCCCCTCTAAAAACAAACCCAAGGATCAGATCTTTAAAAAAAGCGTTCTCGAATGTCTGAAAGATGAATCCAGAGGCAGAAACCTTTCAGAGAAGGATCTCTGAAAAGGAAAAAGAAATGGAATCTACGAGAATGATGAAATGAAAATGTTTCGAAGAAAATGGCTTCTTGTGAATGGTAAAATGACCGCTCTTAGGATTGAACAACACAGAAACCTATGAAATTGAGCAGATCTCTGTTACCCTTTTGCATGTAGTTTTGGGGAAGGAGACATTAGAAATTTCTAATGTTTCGAGGCAAAGGACGGCGTCTGTGCTCGGATGCCTCTAATAATAGCAAGAGAGAGGGTTTATAGGTGGACGTAAATTTAGGGGATACCATACCTACAGACATAAATAGTACGGTTATTCATTACAACTTCAATCCATTCGGACATATCAACACTACTAAAAACTTTGTATAGCGTACCATGCATTTGGGATGTACCCTATCATCGTAATTGCCGACAATATAAACTTTTTTTACTTTATACATATATATATGTTCTCTAGACAGATGCACTCATTCATATAAACCATACACATGCTTCAGAAATATAAAAATACTAAAAAAAAAGCGGTTACCGAAGCAAGGCAACATATTCATTCGTTCATATTCAAATCCATATGAGCTGCACAAAAGGGGCAAGCAGACAATTACACGCCCAGAAACAAAGGCTTGATTAGAAAGAAGCCCCCACCCCCGGAGTGACCAAAAGGAAACACAACACTAGAATGTGCAAAACAACACCCATCCCAAAGACTATACACACCCCCCCCCCCCTCTATAGAAAGGAAACAGGAAAAAAAGAAAAGACAGATCCCTTCCCCGGGAAAAAAAGGTCTTATCCCTAGATACAATCATCATCATCATCATCAATATCATCCATTACTGCAGATTATACGGTACTGAAAACTTCACAAAAGGACTCGTCAACTCAGGAAGCAACTGGAGGAGCATCGTAGGTACCAGAAGAAGAAGAAGCAGCAGCGGCGGCCTCCATGGCAGCGTTCTTTGGTTTTGAAGGGTTTGATGTTGAAGGCCCAGTTTCAGATACGTCGCCAATGTCCAGTGTGTCTGGGAGGTTTTCAGTTTCAGGGCTGTGCGTCTGTATAACAAAATCACTGGCTTTATTTTGCATCAAAAATGGAAATTGAGATTTTCATTAAATTGGCCTATCATATAACGACGAGTAAACTTTATACAGAATATGCCAATGTTAATATGATGAAACCCGACAATACCTAGTGTGCGAGTGAATATGGAAATACTTGACTGCCTACCAGATGGCTAAAGAGTTTACCTCGAGCAGGGTCAACATGTCCATGGTTGCTTCTACATCACCATCGTTCGCTAAGTATACATTTGCAATGGACTCATGTGATAAACCGGGGAATGTCATCATAAGGAACTCCATATCCATGTCCATCTCCAGATCTTCATCACTCATCTGCTTGTATGTCGCATCAGATGATTTATTCGGCATCAACGATTCAGAGCTTGGATAACTTTTTTCTCTTTGGTCGACAGATACATGGTGTTGTTGGCTCTGTGCAAAATGCGTAGGATCTTGTGCATGCAGAAACTCACCATCACCAACATTACTCTCTCTTTTGGACAGAGGTATGTATGCTGCTGCATATGGATTCAATGCGAATGCTCTTGGCTCCATTGCTTTGACTTTGTAAAATGTGATACTGCCAAATTCCGCAAGGAAGAGAGAGTTGGTAACTTTGTTTATGCGGTATAGAGCAATTCAAAGAAAATACTCCCAAGGCTAATGAAGACTAACAACATAGCGATATCAAAATGATTTCAATCTGAAGAACAATCCAAATTAACAGGAAACAAAAGGAGAAACTCAACTATAATCAAGTTTTGCTTCCAAGACATAGATCTTCTAATCAACATTACATATCAAAATTTGTACCCATGGAATCAAAAAGTACGGCCAGTTTCTCCACATGTATTAGTCAAAAGAACACGTCTCTGTAAGGGATAAAAACTCAGATCAACTCAAACGTGCAGGCCATACGTCCATAACCTTAGGTCCATTGCAGAGACCTATGAGACCGCATCAATATCCCACTTCTTTAATCTACGAACCTCCAGACGAACAGCTAATCGCAAACGCAGACTGATCTAAAGCAGAGAAACTAAGTTTTATCACCCGAATAACCTACTTTCTTCCAGAAATATACGCCACAAAAGAATCCAACATAGAGAAAACGAAAAAAACCACCAATGGGAAATGAAACGGTGTGCAAGCTGTTTCATCAAGAATCGGACACAAATCACGGCATAACTAAAACGGAGAACAAAAATTCAAAGAAAAAAAGAAATTTCTCCATAAAAAAAACGTAATCCAGGGAAAAACTGATCGCAAACAAAAACAAGGATAGTCATCACGACGATTGCGTCAACGCTCTTCGTCAAACGAGACGAACAAACAAATCATCGAGAGAGAAACGGAGCTTACCAGACAGATGAAGAACCCTAGCGTTGGAGATCGCTCGCTCGAAAAAGAAGACGATCGGATTGCGGAGATCCAAATGCGGGAAAAGCCAGGAGGAAAGAGACACCGCCTAATAATGGATTTTTTTTTTTGGTGAATCACAAAGAATGGTCGTTTACTTGAAGATCGCGTCACGGTGGGTCTGTTTGGAAAGTTAATTAGCTTATCCCGGATCCGGTTATCGGTGGAATATCCAAACTAGATATTTTCCAGAACGATGATATGGCGGATAACAATTGGATACTCGTTCTTCGTCTCAGATATCACTGACATACAAAAAAGAGCAAAATCCCATTGACCGGAAACTGAGTCGGTTATATTGCAAACCGGAACGAAATGAACCGAACAAACCGGATGATGACTGATGAGAAGACCTACATTGACTTGAGCTTAGAAAATGAATAATATAATTTTATTGAGTTTGTTTGGTAACTAATCGTTAGCAACGATTCGAAGATGTTATAAATTTTTTAAGATTTAACCTCAAATTGAAAACGAAAAAATCCATACAAAGATTTATTTCAAACCACTAAAATTCAAATTCAATTGGGCCAACTAATATTAAAAAAAGTGCATAGAATTAGCCACGTATCGATTTTTTTTTTTAAATTTATGTCTTGATTCGCTATGGCCAAGATCTCCTTCAAAAACAAAAAGTTGGATGGGCGTCTATATAATTTATTTATAGTTACCATTATTGCCACGTATTACGTATATTAGATCCAATGTTCTAATGATATTAATTTCAATTATAATAAATTCAGATTTCTTAATTTAGTGAAGAATCCAGCTATCAAAAAAATGAATTCGCAAATAATTAAAACTTATGAAGGCACGATGCCCCATTTTACTGTCAATAGGAACCAAACCAACCTTTTCATACAAACAACCGCATTATATTAACTTATTATTCCCCGAAAAAAATTATTTCAGGATGATTATTTTGTTTTAATTAAACAAAATCAAACCGATTGGAATAATAAAAAATTTGCATTAAATATTGAACATTTTTAAAATAAATATAGTTATCAGTAAAAGTGAATAAAAAATAAATTCAAATAATTTTTGAATTGAACTAAATCTTTCTATTTAAACCGACATCCGCCACCAAATTACTGTTTAAAATGCTATTTGCGTCCACGTCAGATCCATATCGCACCATAAAGGATAAGCATCGGCTCAATGATAAGAGAATCACAATCGTCAAGCCCTTTGCAAGATATTTTTGCTAATCAAATTCATTCACTGACCCGCTATCCGGTTCCACCACGTGTCAGATTCTCAGATATCCTGATGAGATTTGTACGGACCTTCGACGGTAAGTCATAAGTTACAGCTGTATCCACTGTATCGGATTTTTACCGGCTGTATCGAATGTATCTTCAGCCGTTCGATCTATTAGTTCTCTTAAATCGTACGGTTGAAAATTCGCAAGTCCAGGTTCAACCCGTGGTCTTTCTTACATGTGATTGAACATTGATTGTTTTTTTCCCAGATATTTCTCAAGTGCCAGGTGGGCAATACGTCATCTCGGATTTGAATTTGCTAACCCAAGAATTTTTATTTTATTACGCAACATTTTTAAGCCGTCTCTCTAATTTGCCGCATCCATTCACAAAAGGAAAAAAAAAGCACACAGAAATCGTTTTCGAAGTCGTTATTTTCCCCGAAAAAACAGGCAGAATTCGAACCCTCTGGAAAACGAAGGCTCATCTTTGGCGCCTTTATAAGCGAGCCGCTTTGCGCGAACGGCCTCAAAGTGCAGGAGAATTTCAAAATCTACGGGGAGAAAGCTATCGTCGATCGGAGGTTTGTCGCTCGGAGTCCCTGCAAGTTTCGTCGGCAAACTTAGCGTGTTTCTTCTGAGATTCTGATCGGTGGACGTCGCCGGCTCGGAGTTCGTCATTGACACATTTTTCGTACTTTTGATTTTGCTCTCGCTCTCTCTGTTTGTTTTTCGATTTGGCAACTTGTTCTTTGAATTTTTGTTTAGGTAATGTGACTTTTGAATGTTTAGATTCTCGTTATTTTGTAGATTCAATGAACGATGTTCGCCTGATTTGTCAAGTTCGTTTTAGTTTCCGAGAATAATTGGATGGGAGAAGAAGGAGAATCTATTGTGATCGCTCTCGTTTAGGTCTCAGGATATGAAAATTGAATTAGAGCTTCAGCTTCTTCGCGAGAGATCTTTCGGAAAAATTAGGTGGAATTGGCGAAGTTTGAATTCCTCGCTCTTGGATAGAATTCAATATCTCTTTCTGAGTGATAAGCGCTTGAGCTTTAGGTTGGATGGGCAGCATTAAGAGGCTGTTCCATATCTACTTTGCCGGAGAATAGTGGTTCCAGGCCGAGCAATTTGTCTCACGGATTTATGGGCAGTGATCAGAACTATCAAACCCCTCGGTGATTGTAGTTTGTCTCATAGACAACGACATCAGAGAATGCTTTTGTTTGCTTTCCCTTTGTTTGGATTTTGAAGTTTTATCACCAACATGAATCTGACATTTGTTCAAAATACACACCCTGAGGTAGTATTTGAGCCGGCAAGAGAGGTTTTGGCAAGGGAGGTTTTGAAGGGGGATCCTTGGTTTCACAGTTGGAGAAGTTTAGGTGCTGTCTCAGGATCAAAAGTCGAGTTGGAGGTGAGTGAAAAATTTTGGTTATACCATCTGGAAGTATAATCGAGGAAGAAATCACGATAATAGTTTATTTAGTATGTGGCTCTATGCATTAATCACTCCTTTGGTTCTTATAGATAGAGTGCTCAGTTGGTTTTCCTATATCATTGAGCTGCTGCAGTTTGTTTGGGCTTCATGACTGTATCTCCTCAGTAAACCATTCTTGTAATCCTTCTTCTACACTAGTAGGGTCCTTCATCCAGCTCTATACTGCAATCCGTTTTCATATCACCCTATCCATTTGACATGCTAAAGAATCTGCTTATCAGTTTTTATGTGGTCAATGGTGCTTCCTGTTTTCTGATCTCACATAGGATGGACGAAAATGGGTTTCACTTATTTGTTCTTGAAGATGCCTGGCCATTTGGTCACTTTTGCTAGAGTTCATCAATCTTAGCTCTTATGCACCTAATCAGTTTCTTAGGAGTTAGGAGCAAATCGTTTGGTCAAACTCTTTGGGTGAGGTTCACACTCTCTTGAGTATGCCAAAGTTATCATCTGATCTAGCAGAATCCTCCTGGTAAAGATATCCAAAGGTTCTGATAACTGGAATCCTATTTAGGTCAAGAGAAACATGCTAGGTCTAGAGTTGAGGTTTAATAAACCAATATATCCTCGTATGCTATGGTAACTTTCTGAAAAGTCTGGTAAGTTCCCTGAAGAAAACTGGTGCGAAGTTACTACTGGAGGTAGATGTGTCCCTTCTGGGCATCAACCCAACTCTTATAGCCCACAGTTCCCCCTATTTATGTGTGTCAAATCGAGTTTGAAATTGTTTGCCTTGCTTTTACGATAGGTTGGGCATCTATTATCCGGTCCCCAGAGCTCAAGGATACAAGTGAGCATGCAATTTGTTAAGCTAATATGTCTCTACCAGAGGGTTCATCAATCATCATTTCTTAGTTGTTAAACAGGATACCTGTTAATCTTCTTTTTTTGATGATAACTGCCTCTTGGAGTATGCTGATTGGAGGAGCCGTACTGTAACTGGTTTATCTTGCTGCTGATTTGGATTGGTTTGCAACAATATAGAAGGAAGCGATGATGTCCTCAAGTGTTTGCTGGGTTTTTCAGGTGACAGATGATATTTCGAAAAGCGAGAAAATTTTCTAAATTTGTTCTTATTTGCAGGTCGTATAAGCTTCCCTTCAGCTGGCATTTTCTGCCAATATCATCAAGAGACTATTCTTAATGGGAGATGTAGTCTTTGAGGCTTCCCCTCCGCAATCTCAGCAGCCTAACCTGCCGAATCTTAAGATGGAGCTTGGAATCCCTTCTCATCCGCTAAATAATGAAGAATCTCGGTCATCAATGCTGAAAGAGGAAGCAGCAGATAATGCGGAAAATGAAATCCGTGATAGAGGATTAATGGAGCATGGGTAAACCTCTTTCCC